GATTTAAAAAGCGTCTTACACGCTGTCGTCGTCAGTGCTTCTGACCTCTCAATCTGTAGGTCGTTTTATACACTTTGCGACATGGGCACTGAGGTTTGATTTTTATGAAAGTAATCTTTTCCTATAGTGAATGGCAGTAGGACCGTAATGGAATTTTTCCTCGTTCTAAGTTCCACTGGATTTGCTTAATCTGGTGAAGCAGAAAGCACCTTTCGGCTACGCTGTACGCCAGTCATTTCGAGGTTCTTGTCGATTTAATGCCTAGTGAATAGTTTTGATAAAACTCAGCCTTACTAGTTAGGTTTTAGCTCTTGCATGTGGCACTGTTCCGCTGGGTTTGTTTCTTTTCATTTGTCGAAGTCGGTTGTCCGCCGATCATCTTCATGTGGCAGCTAGGGGTTTGGGATACGAAACTTACAAGATCAGTGATTTGCACGTTATTTTTGGATATTACCTTACCTGCAGTGTTTGATATCATCGATACTGACTTGATCGTTTTTCTCTACAGTGGGAGGCGAAAGTGAACGATGCCGAAATTTATTTCGAAGAGATAAGTAAAACGATTAGAGCCGAATGGAAGCGCTTTGACATGCAAAGGATAAAAGATCTAAAGCAGATGATGATTCTCTACATGGAAAGCCTTTCAGCATCGCAGCAGCAGGTATGGCGAGAGCTTGAAAGAAACATTTGGCTAGTTGCGTTTTTTTTTCAGCTCGCTAAATATTGGGAGTCCTTCCTTCCGGCGGCTAAAGCTATTGTCTGAATGATTGATCACGCCGCGATGCTAATCAGAGATGAAAATGTCTTTTACCTAGTTATGTTTTTGAAAAGTTAAAGCACTTTATTCTTCGTTATTTAGAGTTCTATGAAATGTAACATGAATATGTGAACAACGAAATTTTTTGCTGATTCAATTTTTTCTTTCGGTTTATATCAATGAATGTTACATGATCGAAAGTCTGACTCGAACTCTTATCGTTTTTCGTGATAATTTGATAAACTTTTCACGAGCTTGTGGTAGTGACAATATACGTGCGCGTCATGGTATGGAAGAATCGTCATTGTTCTCCAGGGCATTGTTCTACCGGCCATTCGGTTCTATCAGTAAATGAAATTCGACTCTGATCTACCATAAGCTCACACTGAGAACCCACTCTATCCTGAGAACACACTGGCTGAATGCCGCGACGGGTCAACGTATATGAGAGTGGTACAAATGAATTCATTTAACTCCGCAGTTGAAATACTGTTTTCGCTAAATTAGTAACTGCTGCTTGCTCAAGGAAAGTGATGAAATATGCGATGAGGTGTAAAGAACACGAATC